TCCATCCAGCTCTTATCTCAAATAACAACTTAAAAGAGACTGTTTGACCAACACAAGGAATGTTAAAAGATTCGTGTTAAAAAGATAAAAAAATAAAAAAAAAACAAATGAAAACTACAGACAAAAGTTCATTTTCTCCAGCAAGACATTCATTTCTGTAGTTTACTGCTACCAGCAAGCAGAAATATTTCTTCTCCCGATGATGGCTATTTTGGCCGAAACTAGTCGAGGAATCAAAATGAAATAATAATAAAAAAAAACGAAAGAATATTAATCTACAACCCAGTGTGTCTGAAGATTTTAATTTTTTAATATTTTTTTATTGTTCAATATGTATATATACATATATATATATATATATATATATATATATATATAGGGCGCGATTGGTAAATTTACGCCATTTTGTATTTATTTTTAATTTCATGTTGTTTGTTTTTGATTTTGTCGACTGTACAGAACAGTAGGATCAGTTGGGCTACTTATGTGCTAAAAATAGCACCATCAGGCAATTTGCTCCGCCAGAAATTCGGAAACGGCATTCAGCTCCAATACGAAAATGTCAGAGTGTTTGGATGTCAATTTGAGTAGAATTCAAAGGATTCGGAACAAAAAGTCTAATGGTGATTGTTATGGTGTTTGGAGTGATCACGACGATATGCCATCATTCCTCCCCCAACAGTTCGTCAGATTCAACAGAGAGGCCTACATCAACTGCTTTGAGGAGGTAGTGTTGCTTGGTTTAAAGAGGATGGTGGCTGAACGAACAGGAAAACTGCAACAGGACTCTGCACCATGCCACTCAACTCAGCCGTGGCTGTCAGACAATTAGTGCGACCACACCATCCCTTACATCTGACAACCTAACCCCCAGACTGCAAACCACTAGATTAATTCGTGTGGTGGTGCAGTTGTGCAGTTGAGACCAATATATATATATATATATATATATATATATATATATATATATATATATATATATATATATATATATATATATAGGCGAAAATCCGTGGTAAGTAATCTAAGTGAAGACTAGTAATATAAAATATTAAAACTGATTCAGTGAAAAGAGCTCAATGTATTTATTACAGAGCATATATGAATTACAGATACATGAAATTAATAAATTTATCTGTAATTACAGATACTAGAAATTAGTACAAACACACAAAAATATATATAGAGAGAGAGGGGGAGAAAAGACAAAGAGAAAGAGAGAGTCAAAGACAAAGAGTGAGACTGGGTATTTAAGTAAATGCTTCATTTTTTTTAATTAAACGCTATTAATTACATTTACCGGCCTGAATGTTCGAGGAATTTCGTAGAAAATATGTGCTCTCCAGCAGGAGTCGAAACTGTAAACCTTATGGGGAACCTTCATTTGACCTGACTTTCTGTTAGCCATTCAGCTACAGAGAAGTGTTTGGTTCGCAAATTTCGAATTACTGTTTAAAAAACACACACATGAATGTCCTCAGCCGTGTCGCTTTCGGGCATGGTCTTTCAGGATCTCTAAAACTGTCTATTCTTTGTTGTTCTTAGGTTTTATTTTTACTATCGATTCCAGACCCTATTCGGCTATCCATTTACGTAAGCTCGCTAGGTTGGGCATTCTCTACTTTCCTCTATTAGGTTCAGTGTATAATATAGTTAGAAAATTATCCAAGCCCAATTTCTTCATTAACTGTTCTAGTAAGTTCACCTCTTTCTTTCGGATTCCAAGTATAAGCTTTTAATTTGTTTCCATTTTCCTTAAAACTTCATCATTACTCACATGTTCAGTCCATGATATTCTAGGCATCCATCATCGGAACCACATGTCTGTTGCCTGAACTCGTTTCGTCATTTGTGAGGATATTGCTCATTATTTACTGTCATATGAAGGACGGATAGCATTAATTATTTGTAATGTAATTTTCCGGTTTCTTAACAATTAGCATTCATTTTGGAAGACATCATTCGCTCTTGCAATGCACCTTCGAATTTCGTTGTCACATTTTCGTCCTCTTCTATATAATAAATGCGAATATCACTGTATCATACTTTTTTCAACTTTACTCCTAGAGGCCGTAGCCCAACATATTCTACCATTTTGGAATCAAGCAGACTCTGTGAGCAAATTAAAAACATTCCGAGTCGGATTCGGATCCGCAATTATGAAATTTTCGATTCCCAATTTTTCATTACTACGATTGATTTCGCCGATATTTGTACGTGATTGTTGCGACGAAACTTTTTGGTACGATAGCAAATTTTATATCTTGGAATTAAATTTGGAAATAATGGAAATTAATTTGCGAAAACCAGAGATAGTCACCCATGAAATAAAATAATTGTTGGTGCGGAAAGTAAGGACCTACGTACGTCAAACTGTTTTTAAATTAAGTGGCGGAAGTAGAAATATAGTTGGACTTCTAAAAGTTAAGCTCAAATATTAATGCAGTACTTAAATGCAGTGATCAATTTTGGGTTCTTCTGTAGTTTATTGTTGTCTATCGCATCTAATCCTCTCTTGTGATAAAGGTCTAATCAAGAACCTTACGCAGAATCTTGCTTAAATACCGCCCGCTGGATTTTAAGCTAGTTTCAAATTGATATGGTTAATTTTTAGTTAGCATTATGGCCTGTTCATCTGATATTATGTTTTCTTACACTTAATTTTTAATCTTTTTTCTCTTACTTTCATTTATAACATTCTCTTGAAACTATTGCAGTTTCCCTTCTGTGTCATGAGTTGTTATGAAAGTGGCCGTCAATAATAAATCCCGTTATGGCTTCTAATACCCTCAGTGTTTTTGTGCTATGCAAAATAAAGATATTGTCTTGAGAAGTCAGTTAGCTTTAACAATCATGTATCTTTCGATACGAGGCAGATTTTTTTTCCGCAGTAGTTTGCCATTTCTTTCTGCGGTAGAACAGTTGTCATCCAAGGCTACAGAACCCGGTCTTTCCTTCTATTTACCCATAGCTGGTGGAGGAAGAAAAAGAGGATTCATACCTTTCCCAAGTGAATGTAATGGATTCGACTGGAATTCGAACTCGGCTCTCCAATTCCTCAATCCGAGCCGCTATCAATTACTCCTCCGTTCCGCCTTAAGAAGACACACCATTATTTCACCCCAGCTTCTGTTTTTGAGCGCTTACTCAATGTATTTTCTATCCGTAGGGCGGAACGTTATTTCCAGTAAGTAAAATCTGTTTAATAACATATAGAATTTGTAAACTTCATTATTTATATAAAGTGGAGAAATACATTGAACGTAATTTTAAGCTTCTCCTATAACGGAATTATTTCAAATCCAATGGGAACGGAAAGTCTCGTAAAATATTTAAAGATAGAAAAATGGACGTAAATGACAAGCCTGACGAATCAAAATATATTGTTCTACTTATCAACGCTATCACAAATACAATTGAAAGTAATCTATCTCAATTCAATATAACGTTTGTTACAATTATTTCTAAAACAATAAAAACATAATTTATTTAATACAAAACAAAATAATAAGATAAATCTTGAAAGATGATTTTATTCTCTTACCTGTAATGATTGTCCCAAGCAATGCATAGGAGAAACCCCAAGGAATTTAAATAAAATATCATATGAACACACAAAAGGGATCCTTTACTGAACAAGATACTAATGTATTAGTTGCTAACCGTTTTGAGTCTGACCATAATTTTGATTTAATATGCTACCCTAATTAGAAGAAAAAGCAATAATTTGCTTACTGCAAACAAATCACTTGCCTGCGCGTAGAAAGACGACAATGTATAGAAAGTGCTTTATTCGCTAGATCATCTACACAAAATATATACCCGTGTTCTTACATTTCACCATTCTTTGCATATCTTCTATTATCACACTGTGCGATATTTAAAAACAGAAGTGTCGGAAACATGACGAAAATAAAACCGGCCAAAATATATTCATAAAAATTAAAAATAAATAAACTTAAATTTAAATTTCCCAATGTCCCTTTTTCTTCGTGTCTATGTCTAATCGCATAAACGTAAACGTCATTTTAGTCCGAATGCCTGAAACACGTCATACGATCGTCTTTGGTATAGAATTTTCCTGATACACGCGTGCGCACACAGACAAACACGCGCACGCACACATACAAGAGAATAAACTCAACCTAACACCAATAAGAACATCGCAACTAACGCATAAATTATTTACAGTAAACTTAATTAAAAAAAATAACAAAAAATGCGGAATAAGGCAGTCACTTTGTGAAACGATATGATGAATATTCTTAACAAATACAAAAGGTTCATCTACGAGTCGACGTTTCGAATATAACACGAAATACTTAAGTAACGAATTTTATTTCTATTAATTTAGTAATCTTTTTAATATTAATTACACACACACAAGCACGCACGCACACACACACACACAGATATATATATATATATATATATATATATATATATATATATATATATATAACTGTGGTATGTTGCAGTTCACCTAACCTCACAAGCTTGAGGGAATGAATCACGGAAAGGGAAGCGTGATATTTGGCAAACGGAAAAATCGTGCTAAGTGCTACAAGAAATAAGAAGCTGTGGATAGCCATGATCGACTACGCAGAAGAAGAATTTTCGTTCACATCCAAGTCCCTTTTTGGTGCCCTTTACTTAAATGTTGTCATACTACAAATTTAATTCTGAAATATTTTTATGTGTCTACACTAAACTAAAACAAACATACAAATTCAAACTAGACATACACACAGAGTTCCTGTTATACGATGTTAAATACATTTGTAGCTATATATATATATATATATATATATATATATATATATATATGTTGAAGTTAAATCAAAATCCAAAGGGTGTTGCAGTGAAACTTCTACGCACAATGATACAAACACTCCGTACTCTACGAGTTTGCTTCCCATCTGACTGTGCCATCCACTATTTATTACTATTTCCAAAGCATACAACCGGCCGATAGTATTAAAAAAAGAATATCGTCACGCATGCGTAGTGGGATAAATGGCCTCTCCTCGCGACCACGCGTGATATTGTCGGTCCCTCGCGACGTCGGCCATGTTGGATTTACTCGCTAAGCAGGTACATGTCCGCTTCGTAAATGTATAAATGTATTATGTCGCTCTTGTTGCTATACGAGACGCAAATTTTCCTAAACGACGTTAATTTATATTGTAACGCATTATTATGGAAGAACAAATACAAAAATAGTCTACCTCAGTAATGAAGATCTTTTAAGGAAAATTAATTGATGTCTTTCATGAAAGTTATTAATTCTGAAAATAAATTCTAAATCTAACAATAAAGACTGCTAAACTGAAATATATGAATTTATTTATACCTATTAATGTCTGTGCTCTTTATGTCTAGCATTATAATTAGAATGACTACTTGCCTTTGTTATACATACATACATACATATATATATATATATATGTGTGTGTGTGTGTCTGTGTATGAGTGTGTGCGTGAGAGAGACAGTGAAAGAGAGTGAGAGAGACAGTGAAAGAGAGTGAGAGAGCATGCGTACGTGTGTGTGTGTGTGTGTGTGTGTGTGTGTGTGTGTGTGTGTGTGTGTGTGTGTGTGTGCAACGCGTTACCAAGGGATTAAAACGCCCACTTTCCAACCACGTGACCATGGTACTCGATCCTTGAATACAGACAACTTTGGAAGTTGCCGGAAAAGCATGCCACCCTAGTGAGTTAACTTATGTAGACGAGACTGTTGAGTGGGGGCGGCCGATGGTTGCGTTAGCACGAAGTCACATATAACCGAGGTTTCGACAATGTTCAAATTGCATATCAGGCCATAGGATATATATATATATATATATATATATATATATATATATATATATATATATATATATAGATAGATAAGAAAGATAAGAAAATATATATATAAAGAGAAAAGAAAATATTTTTTACTAGTGCCTTTCGTTCTCTGATGGACTTTATCAAGGCAAATGTTTTAGGGAGCCCATTTGCCTTGAGAAAGTTCATCAGGGATGAAACGCCTTTATAAAGGTTATTTTTACTTTGTCTTTCATATTGTCTTTTACAGATATATTTTATTTATATCAAAATTAGTACACACACACACGTACCCGCCACACACACACACGCACATATATATATATGTGTGTGTTTGTGTGTGTATGTGTGTGTAAGTTTGTGTGTGTGTTTCTGCTAGTATGAATTGTAATTGTCACACACACACATAGATATACACGCACACACACACATATATATATATATATATATATATATATAATATATATATATATATATATATATATATATATATATATATATATATATATATATATATATATTTATTAACAATTAAATTTTCGAATTTTTCTATAATTTCGCTCATGGGTGTTTTTTTTTTTTTTTTTGATATTGAATAGTAGGGTCAGTTGAGCACCGTTTATGAGAAAAAGAGCGCCATGACGCAATTCCCTCCCCCAGAAATTTGGAAACTGCATACTGTACGGCTTGGCATTCGCGCCGAGTGCTTTGGGTGAGAGTTCAGTGAAATCAGAAAATGTCAGATGTTTTAAACGTGAATGATAAGTTGTTGCGATTTTACTGAATAAATTTACACTTCAATATTTGAAGATACTTTTGTGTAATTTGATTAAATATATCTGTTCAAATGAGATGTCAATGCTATCTTCTTCATTTTTGCGTAATTTAGACGACAATTTATCCATTGAACCCATTATATACATAGGCACACTCACCCATACGTTTTTGTATATATATATATATATATATATATATATATATATATATATATATATATATATATGTGTGTGTGTGTGTGTGTATCAGCTTTTCTTTTACTGTCTGACTTTTGGTCAATTTTATTTCTAGAAACAGGTGGTCTTGATAGTTTGGCTAGTGGTTTGTTTTCTAGCTGGTTTGTTTGTTTTGCCTGGTCGTTTCATTTCCCATTCTCCTCCCAAACCCAGCCAAGATATTTTATCCTCTCGCCGGTCTAAATCCGACTGCTTTTCACAATTTACTACACCAATTAGTCGGACTGAAATGCCAAACTTTAGATAATTGAACTGCTCAGTGATGGCACAAAATGATATATTTTTTTCTTTAAACTATCAATTCAGTATGACTTCTATAATCAAAGAATATTAATAAAAACGGACACGCATATATACACTACAAAATATATATGCTTATATATCCAAACGATTTTTTTTTTAAAGAAAATCTACAAGATCTCTCTGTTAAAATTTCATTGTATATTCCAAATATCGAATAAGATTTATATTTGTATTGGAATTGTGGATAAATTCTCTGAAATTTATGTTTGTTCTTTTGCTTTGTTCAATTGTTGCATTTGGTGTTTGTGTTGTAAGCAAGAATTCGTTGGCTACATTCGCGTATTATGGAGAAAGCAGAATGTTCAAAATAGTCCATGGTCACGGCGAAGGACACCACAGCAAAAAGAATGCATTATTTCTTTCCTTCAGACATTTTATTCCCAATTTTTTTTTTTTATAAAACATTTTCGTCGAAGATTTAAAGAATAAAATAAAAATTAAACAGACTTTGTCACTTGTAATACATGGATCTTGTTTGGATGAATACACACTGCCGAAATATACATTTTTTTTAAATGCCTATATATGTATTATTTATGTAAGTGGCATGGTGTGTTTTTGTTATGTAGGTTTGACTTGGCGAGACCAGAGAATATAGTTCTTCCGAGCACTTTCCGTGGAAGTAGCAGTGGAATAGCGAGTGTCTTGCCACATTCCCAACCGTGTGGAGGTTAGAGGGTGGAGAATAATTCGTCATCCACAAGGGCTTGGAGACGCTTTTGGACTATCAAGATTGGAGAGGGAGATCTTATTATCTCCCGTCCTAATATGACAACGCACTCGATTTTCGGCCTGATCTGTCCCCTGTAAAGTTAGAGGATAGCATGAGATGTCAGGTACTTACCATAGTGTTACAGGGAGCTGACAATTTTACCCGCATTCTTAGCAATGGATCGTATGCACGAGTTCCACTTAAGGTCGGGTGTGAGTTTGGGGACATTTCAAAGCACGGTGCTTCTCCGAAAGGTCCTCTGATCACCATAATTAGTGCTAATTCGAAGTTTAATATACTAAAATATTTGCAAGATAACCAATAAAGAAATTATGTATCAAATTTTACACGAAAGATGATTCTATTTTACACACTCAATTTACGCTAAGCTGACCACAATGGGTTACTTAATCCACACATGTCTGCACACACACGCACACACACACACACGCGCGCGCGCGTATTTAACTTAATGACGAGAGCAGTGAATACGAAACTGAAAACGAAAGTGGTTTCTTTTAATCGACCGAGCGAACTCTTTTTACCTTACATTAGCATGGATGAAGCCAACCAACAGGAGAGTCACCCATTGCGTCTTTTCTCGCTAAAGTTTACCGCTGATATTCAGTGATTTTCCCACTTGTGACGAATGCAGCTATCAATATATTGCATGCTAGCATGCTAGTTAACATTCGTGTCAGTCAGCTGTTGGGTCTCACGCTGGCCAATAGAATTTTCCTACCTATTCGTGGCAGCCAGCTATAGGCTCTCAAAAGAGGCCAGTAGAAAATGGTCGCAAACTACATGAAAGCTGCCGTAGAAGCATGAAATAATCGATTATTTTCACTATCGATGGGAGTTGGGAAATGCAATGTCGGTTTTGGCCTTCCCGTTAACTTGGAGCATGTGCATGTCAGTTTTGGTGCAAATCCGTCGAAAATTGCGGCCTTGCATTCGTTACACACACACACACACGCACGCACGCACGCACGCGCGCACACACACACACACACACACGCACACACACACAGAACCTGCCTTTTACAGATAGAGATTCTTGGTAAACGCACACCCGAGTCTTCACCAATTATTCTTCTCTTACCTATTCGGTTGACAAAAAGAGGGTTTTCCTCAGGGGATCTATCCTTCACCATACGTAGTTTATAATTTTAGTCCACACCTTCCCTGATGTCATCAGTTCTCAACTCGGTGTATATGCTAATGACACAACTATTGCTCTTGCCTTAATAGTAAGGCTGATCGATTTGTTAAAGCCAAATTGGCAGCGGATCTAAAAAAAAAAAAAAATGACGTAAAATCTGTTGTTAAATGGGGCAAGGGGTAGCTTGCAATTTCTAACGCTTGAAAAACGCAACTGGTCTCTTTTAATCATCTGAGAGAACAATTTTTACCTTCTATCAGTATGGCTGTTGTTAAGCTCAGGATAATGATGCGTTGCCCCTTCTTAGACTTACATTTCCAGCTGGAAAGAGTTTAATGGATCCATTGTTAAGTCTGCATTTAAGAAATCAGGTTCACTTTGTCGTGCTGTACAATTTTTCTCGTCAGAATCTATCTTACATATTTACATGTTTTCCATTCGTCCTGACTTTGAATACTGCTGCCACTTCTGGTCTCGTGCTCCTGCTATATATTTAGAGAGTCTTGATAAAATCCAAAAAAAGAATCTGCAAGGTTAATGGTCTTAAGATGGCATCTCCGCTACAATCACTTTCCCATAGCCGTTCCGTCGCTTCCTGTGCCTTTTCTATAAATATTTTCATGGTAATTGTTCTCATGTGATTTCCTCTAAGGTACTTAGACTTTATCAATTTAAGCGCAGTACTATAATGGCGGCAAGGTCTAATAATTTTACAGTTTAAATGGCTAGATGTAACTAAGTTTTATGCTAACAGTTTCATCTATCGCATTTAACCCTTGTGGAATTCTCAGTCAACATTTATCTTCAAAAATTTAAATGCAAGGTCAATCATCATAGTTCTTGATCTTTTATTTCTCTCTCTTCTTAATAGTCGTTTTCTAATATTCTCTAACACTCATTTACCCCCCCTCCCCTTGCCTTGCTTAGGGTGAAATCATTTTAAAAAATATCATCGTTCAATCGCTTCTGGACGAATAGTGGAAAGTTATATTTCCCGATTTCCATAAGATATCGACACTTTCAACTAGATTTATCTGCAAGTGAATGGCTAGCGAACATAATCTTAAAGAATAAGTGTGAAAGATGCAAAGCTGGAATAACATTTATAATCTCATGAAATAGACGTGAGCCTCTAGTTTCTTTAATTGTATTTGCCGCCATGGACACTTTTCTTGTGTTTTTAGTTGTAGAGGTGCAAAGAGTATGTATTTGCTTATTTAAAACGCTAACGGCTTTTCAAGTACATCAGTTTTTACAACTCATCGAACGTGAGATTTGCGCAAATAACCGCAACAAAAAACAAAAATAACGGCAACGCTGATACTACTACTACTACTACCACTAATAATAATAATAATAAAAATTATCAAAATACAACGACCTTGAAATCGAAATCTCAAAAATGTGGCACATGAGAACATCAACAATTCCAGTTGTAGTTGGAGCCCTCGGAATCATTTGAAAAGGTTCCAGTAGATTCATGAATGGATTCCTGGTAACCCATGACTTAAAGAATTACAAAACTTGTTCTTAGGAGTACAGTCCACACCTTACGAATGGCTTTCTTTATGTAAGTTATATGTGTTTCTGCTCAGTGGAAAATGCCATTATGCCATTTTTGATCTTAAGTCTTTAGTCGGGACCCGGAAAAATATGAGTATACAACAGAAATCAAAGGAAATAATAATAATAATAATAATAATAATAATAATAATAATAATAATAAATTGTATTCTCCATAAAAAATAACATGGGTTACATATTTGATTTTTTTAATGCATCATAAACGACTACAATAACACACATATTAACAGTTATATTTTCTAGAAATGGCGTCTCTAAAACATTGGTATCAGACAACGCACCCTAATTATATGATAGAGGTTTTTGTAATTGGCTGAGGCTGGTTGGAAGCTTCTTATACAAAATACTACCCTATCACTCATAATCTAATGGGGTTGCAGAAAGAACGATGCACACATTAAAAATAGGATTACCCTAAGTAGAGATAATATAGACAGTTACTTATCAAGGTTACTGCTTAGATATTTCCACATGGAGACCGATTAAAAAGCACATCTGCGTTAATATGAAGACCAATATGACTTCCATGAACAGTGTCTTAATCGACAACTGAAAAAATGTGGTATAAAAAAGACAAAGTAGCAAGTCATGAGAATGTTAATTTCATCAGGCGAAGGAGACATAACATCGCCTTTATATCGTATATGATATGAAAAGTCTACTGCCTCATTCTCATCAATTAAGATCCAAAACTGAGGAAGATCTTAACGGAAAGGATAAGGATGAGTTCTTCAGATCAGGATAATATAATAGTAGATGAGCATATGGATCATAGCGGGAGTGAGTCACGAAGGGAATAAAATGAGTTTAGGCCAAGATTATTCATTAAAAATAACAGAGCATAAACCTTAAGGAGGAAAGGAGAAAAGAGGTCGTAGAAGTTCAAGAACAACAAAAGGCATTTAAATTCCTCAGGCTCAAGGAAGTGTCATGGGATTGGCAAATAGAATTTTACCGATTTGCATATGTCGGTTATAGGAGAAATAAAGTATAGAGTAAAGAGTCAGACGAAGATAAGTCGATTACTGATCACGTGACGCAGAACAACACTACACAACAATCATAATATTTAATAAATAAAAGAATGACCTTTGCGTGTTCCACGACTACAAATTGCCCGTGGAAATTCCTCTGTTGCGTCGTTAAATATTTGAGCTTAAAAACCTTAACCAAATGTTGCAATAAGAACCATAAGTATGAATGCAGGTCGTCATTTCAAGAAATAGGCAAATACTTTTTTCAATTTCGATGAAGATAACGTTAAACATATGATAGCTTTATTTCTACCTTCTTTCCGTCCTTCCTTTCCCTTTCTTTCTTCCGTCCATCTTTTTTCCGTTCTTTCCGTCCTTCTTTCTTTCCTTCCGGAATTCTTTCTTTCCATCCTTCTTTCTTTCTGTCCTTTTTTTAACTTTCTTTCCGTCCTTCTTTCTATCTGTCCTTCTTTTTTCCTTTCCTGCCTGCCTTCTTTCTTTCTTTCTTTCTTTCTTTCCTTCCTTCTTTTTTTTTCTGTCCTCCTTCTTTCCCTCCTTTCCAGCATTCATTTTTTCCGTCCTTCTTTCTTTCTGTTCTTTTTTCCTTTCTTTCCGGAATTCTTTCTTTCCTGAATTCTTTCCTTCCATCCTTCTTTCTTTCTGTCCTTCTTTTTAACTTTCTTTCCGTCCTTCTTTCTATCTCTCATTCTTTTTTCCTTTCTTTCCGGCATTCTTTCATTCTTTCCGTCCTACTTTCTTTCTGTCCTTCTTTTTTTCTTTCTTTCCTGTATTCTTTCTTTCCGTCCTTCTTTCTTTCTGTCCTTCTTTTTTCCTTTCTTTCCGTCCTTCTTTCTATCTCTCATTCTTTTTTCCTTTCTTTCCGGCATTCTTTCATTCTTTCCGTCCTTCTTTCTTTCTGTCCTTCTTTTTTCCTTTCTTTCCGTCCTTCTTTCTATCTGTCCTTCTTTTTCCTTTCCTACCTGCCTCCTTTCTTTCTTTCCGTCCTTCTTTTTTTTCTGTCCTTCTTCTTTCCCTCCTTTCCAGCATTCATTCTTTCCGTCCTTCTTTCTTTCTGACTTTTTTTCCTTTCTTTCCGGACTTCTTTCCGTCCTTCTTTCTTTCCTTCCTTCTTTTTTTCTATCCTTCTTTTTTTCTTTCTTTCCCTCCTTCTTTCTATCTGTCCTTCTTTTTTCCCTTTCTTCCCGGCATTCTTTCTATCTGTCCTTCTTTTTCCTTTCTATCCGTCCTTCTTTCTTTCTATCCTTCTTTTTTCCTTTCTTTCCCTCCTTCTTTCTTTCTATCCTTCTTTTTTTCCTTTTTTTCACTCCTTCTTTCTTTTTGTCCTTCTTTTTTTCATTCTTTCCTGCATTCTTTCTTTCTGTCCTTCTTTCTTTCTGTCCTTCTTTTTTCTTTTCTTTCCGTCCTTCTTTCTTTCTATCCTTCTTTTTTCCTTTCTTTCCCTCCTTCTTTCTTTCTATCCTTCTTTTTTTCACTCCTTCTTTCTTTTTGTCCTTCTTTTTTTCTTTCTTTCCTGCATTCTTTCTTTCCGTCCTTCTTTCTTTCTGTCCTTCTTTTTTCCTTTCTTTCCGCCCTTCTTTCTATCTCTCATTCTTTTTTTCCTTTCTTTCCGGCATTCTTTCATTCTTTCAGTCCTTCTTTCATTCTGTCCTTCTTTTTTCCTTTCTTTCCGTCCTTCTTTCTATCTGTCCTTCTTTTTCCTTTCCTACCTGCCTCCTTTCTTTCCGTCCTTCTTTTTTTTTCTGTCCTTCTTCTTTCCCTCCTTTCCAGCATTCATTCTTTCCGTCCTTCTTTCTTTCTGTCCTCTTTTCCTTTCTTTCCGGACTTCTTTCTTTTCGTCCTTCTTTCTTTCCGTCCTTCTTTCTTTCTATCCTTCTTTTTCCTTTCTTTCCTTCCTTCTTTCTATCTGTCCTTCTTTTTTTCCTTTCTTCCCGGCATTCTTTCTATCTGTCCTTCTTTTTTTCCTTTCTATCCGTCCTTATTTCTTTCTGTCCTTCTTTTTTCCTTTCTATCCGTCCTTCTTTCTTTCTATCCTTCTTTATTTCCTTTCTTTCCCTCCTTCTTTCTATCTGTCCTTCTTTTTTTCTTTCTTTCCTGCATTCTTTCTTTCCGTCCTTCTTTCTTTCTGCCCTTCTTTTTTCCTTTCTTTCCGGCATTCTTTCTTTCTGTCCTTCTTTTTTCCTTTCTATCCGTCCTTCTTTCTTTCCGTCCTTCTTTTTTCCTTTCTTTCCGGCATTCTTTCTTTCCGTCCTTCTTTCTTTCTATCCTTCTTTTTTTCCTTTCTTTCACTCCTTCTTTCTTTCTGTCCTTCTTTTTTCCTTTCTTTCCGGCATTCTTTCTTTCTGTCCTTCTTTTTTCCTTTCTATCCGTCCTTCTTTCTTTCCGTCCTTCTTTTTTCCTTTCTTTCCGGCATTCTTTCATTCTTTCCGTCCTTCTTTCTTTCTATCCTTCTTTTTTTCCTTTCTATCCGTCCTTCTTTCTTTCTATCCTTCTTTTTTCCTTTCTTTCCCTCTTCCTTTCTTTCCGTCCTTCTTTTTTTCTTTTCTTTCCCTCCTTCTTTCTTTCCGTCCTTCTTTTTTCCTTTCTTTCCGGCATTCTTTCTATCTGTCCTTCTTTTTTCCTTTCTTTCCGGCATTCTTTCTTTCCGTCCTTCTTTCTTTCTGTCCTTCTTTTTTTCCTTTCTTTCCGTCTTTCTTTCTTTCTTTCTTTCCTTCTTTCTTTCTTTCTTTCTTTCTTTCTTTCTTTCTTTCTTTCTTTCTGTCCTTTTTTTTTCCTTTCTTTCTGTCCTTCTTTCTTTCTTTCCGTTCTACTTTCTTTCTGTCCTTCTTTTTTCATTTCTTCCCGGCATTCTTTCTATCTGTCCTTCTTTTTTCCTTTCCTACCTGCCTCCTTTCTTTCTTTCCGTCCTTCTTTCTTTCTGTCCTTTTTTCTTTTCTATCCGTCCTTCTTTCTTTCTAGCCTTCTTTTTTCCTTTCTTTCCCTCCTTCTTTCTTTCTGTCCTTCTTTTTTCCTTTCTATCCGTCCTTCTTTCTTTCTATCCTTCTTTTTTCCTTTCTTTCCCATCTTCTTTCTTTCTGTCCTTCTTTTTTCCTTTCTTTCCGTCCTTCTTTCTTTCTTTCTTTCTTTCTTTCTTTCTTTCTTTCTTTTTAGATTCTACTTTCTTTCTATCCTTCTTTTTTCATTTCTTTCCGTCTTTCTTTCTTCTAACCGAGATTGAATTCCAATTAAATCTATTACCTGTTTGCAGTAATGCCCCGGGGAAAGTCACGAAACCTACACTCCAATCATTCTTCCCGTTCGCATTTACTTTGACCATGGTCATGTCACCGATTGATACTCACAAAGAAAAACAGCCAATAAATACAGAATAACGCCTTCATCGAGCGTATTTAGATCTCTTGTTCATTTATGCTTGAAATTATTTATGAAACGAGAAATTTTCAAGAAAAATTAACGGACCTTTAAATGTAATAACTTTAGACGTTTAATTTTTTGGAAACTTTTGAAGACTATAATTTAAAAACATAATATTTACAGTTTGAAATGTTTGTCAAATCTAAGTTCAAACTGCGTAAAAATCATACTCTGAATACGAAAATAAAACTAATAAAGTGGGACCTCGTTTATCGGCGATAATCCGTTCCAAAACCGAGGTAATATTCCCATAAGAAATAATGTAATTCCAATTAATCCGTTCCACACACACACACACATACACACACACATACACACACACACACACACACAAATAGTAAGAAAATTAAGAAATTTTATTTTATACGAAATATCTATAGTTTTATCTGTAGAAATCGATAAGAAATAGATACAATAAATGATCATTTAACTTCACTGTCCTTTATTGAAGACTTTTGTTGTGGTAAATAAGTCGGTGAAAAGAAGGAGGGAGAAGAATCGTCATTGCTTGCAAAGGAAGATAGATAGATAGATAGATAGATAGATAGATAATAATAATGTATAGATAGATAGATAGATAGATAGATAGATAGATAGATAGATAGATAGATAGATAGTGTGTATGCATAGATAGATAGATAGATAGATGGTGTGTATGCATAGATAGATAGATAGATAGATAGATAGATAGATAGATAGATATAGAGTGTGTATGCATAGATAGATAGATAGATAGATAGATAATGTGTATAGATAGATAGATAGATAGATAGATAGATAGATAGATAGATAGATAGATAGATACGTATAAAGAACTGGGAAAAAATCAATATGCTTAATCCCTCGCAAAAACGTTCCACTTCTTATCTATTTGTTTCGAATTATTTCAACTAGATTATTTCAGAAAATATTCTGTAAATATTCTAGTGTTCCCGACCTGCAAATAATAATGTCGTTATAATTCAGGAATATAAAATTTAAAAATGTATCTGTCTATCTGTTAAGTAAAAGAACAACTGAAATATACTCATTTTAATATTTAATTTTGTATATGCATTATTCTGCCTTACCATATAAAACAGTCGTGAAATCATTATCCTATCATCAATATCCCTACTCCCTAAAATGATAGTAAAACGTTTACTCTAACCTTTTGTAACCTTGACAGTGATTTTTGTTGGCAGTGTGGGTGAGATTTCGTAGTGAACCGCGTCTTCTCTTTTTTTGGATCAACATGCCATGTGCGTCTTGTCAAAGTTCTTATCATTGTTGATTGAGGGTCAGTGTCTGATAAGGAGGAAACAAGGAAAAAGCACGCCATTAGGTGGAACGGATGTCTTTTAGCACTTAGGCTTTTGCGATGAAGAATGAGCAGAACCTAATTAAGGACTTGGAATTCAAAACAAGAACGAAAAAAATAAGAAATATCTGAAAAAGAAAAAATGATGAGGAAGGAAAAATAAAAAAAAACAAGTATTTAAAAGAAAACAAAAAGTATGATAGTTTTAAGCCAAATCGCGAAAAATGCGTTGACTCCTGATAGCTGTGAAGTAGACAAAAATAAGAAAAAGAAATAAAAACATATACACATATACAGAAAAGACGAAAAAGCCATGATGAACGTGTATTCTATTTGCCATCGTCATCATCGCTGCTATTTTTTTTTATTCAGAAATTAGTTCAACCATAACTTTGACCTAGAGAATGCCAGACTTATTAAAAAAGAAAGTAACTTATTTAAAAGGAAAATTCTTGAAAGTGCCTCTAACGAATCTTATATAAATATAAATTTGCGCCTGGGATTCTTCCCAATATCCTTTTTCCTTGAAGAATTACCGCTATCCCAAGACAAAACACATGTTCAGAAAAACACTAAAAAAATTAAAAGAAAACGGTATAACCCATATCCTCATGTTATTCAAAAGTATAACACATAAATCAATCCAATTCCAAAATAATTGAAATACTAATGTACATATGTATATATATATATATATATAAACAAATCTACTCACTTTCGTTTATTAGGCAATGAATTGCATCACCTCATGAACTTACCTGACCTTTTCGTTAACCTGCTGAATATTCATGAGTACTACTATCCCAAAAACATTGAAAAACCAATAATATGTTCCTCTTATATATAAATACTTGTTACAAAATAAAATCACATCATTTGCCTTGATAAAGTCCCTCAGAGGACGAAACCCGTAGGCTAAGATAAGTTTTCCATTATTCTTTATTCAAATGACCCTTTTACATATAGACTCTATCCGAAATTTGTACGCACATATACTGTTTAATGCAACTAGTGTGCATGAACGCTCAACAGCAGGGAACGATTTTGAATTGTATCTAAAAATACCAATATTTATTTATCAATAATGTTATGAGAGAATTATGAATCTACTTCTAATCGAGCGCTGGTCAATTATAGACATCAAGTATAACTGATCATGTCTGAAGAAAGTGTTTGATACACTACAATTTTAGGAGTACCAACTATATAATTGACCAGAAATAATACTGGAGAATACGTCGGTTGGAATAAGAAAAACGTATACTCTGATCAAATAATTTGATCAGTAAATCAAGTATAAATATCAGTAGCGCTACTGACAAAAAAAATCAAGCAACTATTACATTTGAGGTTTTAATGGAATGTTTCTGAAATATTTCGCAGGTTGAAGGCAAAGTAGGAAAATTCCAACTATTGGCTAAGAAGAAACGGTGGAGTCTGTAGAAAAGACGTTTAATTTTTTTTTTACAGCAAGGCTTGCACTGTAGAAGGCCCGGGGTCACTCGAGGTAGAGGGTTACGTTAAGAGGCAATTTATTCGGATAGGAAGGGAAGATAACCGTTAACTCTAGACTTGAATAGTTTAAGATTGTAATGATCGAAGTTTTTGGGAGTCGGTTCCATAGAGCAGTGGTTCGGAGGAAGAATCTGTTCGAGTGTAGCTTACATCTCACCGATGGAATACCGAGGAAATGTGGGTGGTTTGTTATTAATAAGTGGTATGGTGTGTCCTTGCTGTAAAGGTTTGAACTGGCAGAACCCGGGAATGTAGTTCGTAGGAGCACTTTCTCTGGAAGAAATACGTGATGTGACACCTTCACAAAATTGCATCGGTAATCTAGTTAGTATCTGTATATTATTGCTATCCACATCGTCAACCTTGACAGTGATCTCGTCAGCAGAATTTAAATTTGTTTCTTTTCGCCTGGCCGCTAAATATAGATTATAATGTGTTATTAATTACTTACAGAATTATTAAGATTTGCTATTCTCCTATCGAGATTTTAATCTCTTATTTGTGTCTTTTTAACTTCACCCTTTGACAATTTTCTTCAGATTACCCAAGTATATTTCGAATCAATTACTTATTTCTGTTTTCCTTCAGTTTTCATTTCCACATTTTTAATTTATTTAAATATTTTTCATAAGAATTTCTCCCTAAGAAAGGCGGGAGTGCCACTAGTACACAAGGGGTTACAGAGAGTGAAAGTAAGAGAAAAGACTGGGTATAGCGAGGATTGAGTAAAGGATAAAAAGAACAGGAATCAAGGCAACAGAAGATGTCAATTGACATTACATTTAAACTTTTGAAGATTACAGAAACATGTAAGAGGAAGGGAGTTCCACTGTCAGGAAGTGCAAGAGATGAAGCTGTTGGAGTAGAAGAAGCGGTTACATTTAACTGTTTCGACAGTAAAATGGATGTTATATAGATGCCAACCTAGTAGTACGCTTAAATCTATGCAGTCAGGGCACCAGTGAAAATAACTCGTCAGAGCAGATGCCATGAAAATATTTATAGAAAAAACAGAAGGAAGCTACATCACGTTTGTGAGAGAGTCACGGGAGTCGAGATCCCAAGTTAGGGCCGATCACACTGGATATTCTTCTTTGGATTTTGTCAAGAATCTCGAGATAAACAGCGGGGGAACCTGGCCATATATAGCAATAATATTGTTGCTATATAAGATCTGGATGAATTACTAAATATAGTAGTTTTTCCCATTTCTAAAATAATAATGACGTTACTGTTCTTATATCCTGCCTCTTTATTAATGATTTCTATACAACAGCATTTTTCTCAGTGAAAAAAGTACGTATTTATTTTTATCTTTCACATATTAAAATGCATATCTGATTCATTAATATCCACAGATTAATTTTCCTTTTTATAATATCATAAAAATATGCCTGATTCAAATAACAACAATGATTATCACGAGGGTCATCTGACCAATATAAAAGTCGAAACACCTCTTGGCAGATTAAATGACATGCAAAGGTACCCGAATAGAAGTTGTATTCGGGTATACGTACATGTATTTTAATCTTCCAGCTGCTGTGTCTACTTATGTTTATATATTGGTCTGCCTCGACGTTTTTATTTTGTTCTCCAAGAGATTCCATACGAATATTTTTTTAATGCATTTCAGTGCATGTCTAATGACAGCAGGCTTCCGAAATAATTCGGTATGTGTTCTTCACACTCTACCCGCCTCCTTAATATTCGTGCTGATCTCTACTTTTTTTACAAGAGAATCTAAAACTCTGGCACAATCGGAAAATGTTCTCCACGTTATGAACAAAATTATCACTGTATCTGAAAGTATACGCTCCAAGCATGTTTCCGTTAAACTTTATGTATAAAACAAAGAAGTCTACTTATCAACTTTGCAAATTCTGCTGACTTGGCTATCACATCAATTACGAGCTACAAGCGGCTGGCTAAAGCGAGACAAAGCATTTCAGCTAGAAATGAGAAGGTCGCGATTTCAAGTCCGATTG